GGCTCACTTTGTAGCCCAGGCTGGCCTCGAACTCACAACGATCCTCCTGCCTCAGCCTCCCAAATGCTGGGATTACAGGAGTGTGTCACCACATCTGGCTATATCTCCTTTTAAATGCATATAACAAACTATAAGAAAATGTGAATGCTAATGGTTATACTGAAATAACAAGAGCTAGAGTGATTCTCATTTTTATTTTTCTCTGTAATGAACTAATTTAAGAAATAAGTTATGTGCCCAAAGGACACCTAATTCAAAACTATGGGAACCGGTCCTTCAGTAATAGGTTTCATCATCAAAACTGCCATGGAAGGCTTTCTACGATTTGTTAAATCCTAGTCCAGCCTCAGCTCTTTTTGCCATTGCACAAGGTAGAAGGCCTGTGGCATATCCAAGGATTGATAAGACACATTTCTAACCCCCCAGGATTTACATCAGCTTCAGTAGGAACCTGTAAGAATGACTCCAGGGGTCAGCCGCGGCAGGGAGTCTACAGGAGCGGGTTAAGAACTTTACCGTTGACATTCAGATTACTGCCTGCCCACTTAGTGCAGGAAGAAATCGCTGCATTTCTAGGGATAAGCAAAGAGAACTAAACTTGGAAGATGGAAGGTGCTAGAAAAATAGGTTTCTTCTGCAGCGACTCCGGCCCAGGGGAAAAACAAAAGCAATTACCCGGCCTCCTTGCTGTCATGTGCTACTCCAAACAGCTGCGCTTTTGCTCTTACAGAACCAAGCGTTGCAGGAACGTGCCACGCCTTGTGGAGGTTTTCCAAACCTTGCCGTTCTTGGCTTTTTGCAGAGCTCCCAAGGCACAGGCACCCCTGAATTTGCCTCAGTAGCCTCCCGACTTAGGTAGTGTGGCAGAAAGGAATGGGAAGTCTGTGTAAAAAAAACAAATCGGAATTCATGAAGCATGTAGTTTGAGGCGTCTAAGAGAGACCTTTGTTGGAAAAAAAAATTGGAAGACACTGCCTAAAATTCATCTTAAGAAGAGTTCAGAAGCCAAGGAAGGAAAGAAAATGAGAAGCAGCACTTAAGAGCAGGAAATAGGAAGAATTCGGACTCCTCTCCCCCATTTCTTTGAGCCTAAGCTGCCCTCTGTGGTACCCTAGGCTTTGAAGTACAAGTCCTCCCTGAACCTGCCTCCAGCGGGAGCGCGCCTGCAGCGGCAGGATGGAGGGATCGTAACCTCTCTAGAGCAGCTCCATGAAAAAATCAACGAGATGAGGAACGTGTTCAACTCGCTGGAGTACAAGGTAGACTCCCATTTCTAATCCTTGGGGTGGGCCGTGGGCTGTGAGGTAAGCAAGCAGAAGAGAGAGCAGAAAGGAGATGTGAAGACCACATCTTCCGCGGATTTTGCGTTCCCAAGGCAGTGATGTAGTGGAAACCCAGTCTGTAACAGCTAGAGAGTGTAAGCGCCCTAAGCACCTTAAAGTGACCTGTGGCAGTGCGGGAGCCCTGGCCTCTCCTGGCTCGGCACTGGGTGTGAAGCTGTTGATAAAGCAGTAGCGACTTCATTCAAAGAAATATATAGAGAGGAAACGGGCTGGCAGCTCAGAACAGTTTTGGAATTCCCAGAGTCTACATATAACTGGGCTGTTAAAGAAAATTTTGATAGTTTTAAAAGTTTTTCAGGAGTTGCGGGTCTACAGGTGAGGAAGTCTTTTTCTCCATGATTCTTTTGGCTTCTGGCAGAAAGCCACATGTCCACCTATGGAAGCGGTGATAATGAAACCTATTTCTTTTGGAGAGTGGTTCTCTTTTTTGCCTAAGCAAAACCTGGGTGTCAGAGCACTGAAATGAACGTCAGACTTCCTTCTTTTAATTTTAAAAGTTGTGTACTTTTTATTTTGAGTTTAGATAGCCGTCAACTTTATTTTTCTCATGGATGATGAATTTGCAAAATGAAATCACCAGATCAGAAGGTAGTTGGCCTGGTGATTTAATCCAGCAGGATGACTGAATTGGATGTACCAAGAGAGGTCACACAGATGCCTACATAGCTGTAAGATGAAAGAGTCCACCTCAAAGAAAAGATTAATTCTAATTAAAATTAATTGGAATGGAAAATAGATTTTTTTTTAAATGCCTTTTTTGAGACAGGGTCTCGCTATGCAGTTTAGGCTGGCCTTGAGCTCACTTTGTAGCCCAGACTGGTCTCGAACTCACAACAATCCTCCTGCCTCAGCCTCCTGAGTGCTGGGATTACAGGCATGCACCATCATGCCCAGCCAGATCATTCATCTTCTTTGCCAGTTTTCCATCCCTACATACTGCTTAGGTTCTTCTTTTTTTTTTTTTTTTTTTCTTCAAAATAATCTCTTTGGTTCCTCTTATTTATCCCTATTTCCAGTCCCAGAAAGAAACTATTTCTGAAACACACAAAAGTATATTTTTTAACTGTAGTACAGGATATTGAGTCTTTGTAGTGGAAGATGTCATTGCAAATTGGTACCATTTGGATGACTTGATTCTGAAATGTTCAGAAATACACATATGAAGAAATGTTGGAATGGTACCTGGACTTTAGTTTTCATTACTTAGTTGGTGGATATTTTAAATTGTAGAATAGTGCCAGGCGTAGTGGTGCACACCTGTAATGCCAGCACTTGGGAGGCTGAGGCAGGAGGATCATTGCAAGTTTGCGACCAACCTGGGCTACAAAGTGAGCTCAAGGCCAGCCTGGACTGCATAGCGAGACCCTGTCTCAAAAAGACAAAAATAAATTATAGAATAAACCTTCTAAACAGTTTTATTTTGTAGCCCAGGCTGGCTTCAAACTAGCAAGAATCCTCCTGCCTCAGCCTCCCCAATGCTGGGATTACAGGCTTGTGCCACCAAGCCCAGCTACAGCTCTATTTTGAAGACAGAAGTAGAGCTAAGAGTTCCTCTACTTAGCCGAATAGTATCATAAATGTCCAGAAAGTAATAATATTATCGTATTGTTATTATTTTAATTTACTGTCTGTTGAAACTGCTTTTCTCATTTGTTCAATAAATAAATCTGAACCTTTAGAAGTGCTCCATTTTCTCCACATTTCTGTTTGTGCTTAACATTTTGACTTGTCACCTAAAGAGTAAAACAATGAAAACTTTTGAACACCTATGTACCAAGCATACGCTGCACTAGATACCTTACCTTTGTTGACTCATTACGTACTCAAGATATCCTTGTGCAATAGCTATTATTATAATTATTTTATGGATAAGGAAACTGCTCCAAAGGGGTTAACCACCGTGGCCAAGGTCTTAGTTCTTGTACGGGACAGCTAGGATTTGTCCCTTACCTGACTCTCTCTTCCATGGTGTGGAACTTGACATCTGAAGTCTGGCGTGTGCATCCTTACAGGACCGGGCTTGTCTGCTTCGGGTGAAGCACCGCACCATTGCCATGCTGAGCTCCCACCACTTCATTTTATTTTATTTTATTTTGGTACTGGGAATCAAACTCATGACCTCAGGCTTGCCAGGCAGGCGCTTATGCTGCTGAGCTACATTCCCGGCCCACCCACCACTTTAGATATATCTGTGCCTTCCTTATGGATTAAAGCTCGCTGTCACTGAAAATGTCATTGCCAACTTTTCCAGGATCATATCCAAGAATAAACAACAGAAACAAAACCTTTTCTTCCCCCTCAAAGAAATTTTCAGCAATCCCTAGTTGTTACTCTTATTCTTTAGCTTCTTCTTTTTCTTTTTTCTTTCTTTTGTCTTTTTGAGACAGGGTCTCACTGTGCAGTTCAGGCTGGCCTTGAGCTCACTTTATAACCCAGGCTGGTCTCGAACTCACAGTGATCCTCCTGCCTCAGCCTCCTGAGTGCTGGGATTGCAGGTGTGCGCCACCACACCTGGCTCTCTTTAGCTTCTTAAGGAAAAAAAAAAGAAGTGAATTTCTTTATTCTCTCATCATATAAGGGAGTCTATGACCCGTCACTCTTCTTTCACAGAATTCAGAGTTACCAGGTTAAGACTCTTTTCACATATGTATGTTACTTTTCAGGTAAATTGCCTCTTTATCAAAGGTTTTAAAATAAATGGTAGCTTGCAGGAGCACCTATAAATTTAATTGACTGCTTGTTTTCTTGCCCCTTATTTAACTCATCATGTGCTGGATAAAGAAGACACTCTTTTCCCCAGACGAATGGTGCTGAGGTTGCCCTAAATTGTCCAAACTCAAGGAAACAAAGTCTGTAGATTTTCAAGGGCCTGGTTCTCTCAAAGAGAAGAAAAAGCCAAGGGGCCAGTGGCGCCATTAATAATAACGTATAGCAAATTCACTTCACTTTTTATGCATTATTTAGTTGCAGGCCCTGGCCTCCGAGCTCAAAACTGGTTTCACAGAGGCAATGCAGGAATTGTCACGAATTCAACATGGAGAATACGCTTTGGAAGAAAAGGTTAAGAGCTGCAGGTGTTCCATGGAGGAAAAAGTTACTGAGATGAAGAATTCATTAAACTATTTCAAGGTAGGTACCTCATTTATTTTCCTGCTAAAAGAGAATGTCGGTCCTTAGTTAATAGGAGTAGAAAACGTGCCTTTTCCCTAGTAGCCAAATAAAAGAATTTATCATCTGCACCATTCATTAGTTATCATGGAAAAGTATCTATTTCATGTTTTTCTTTTTCACTGCTGTGTTAAAATTGGAGGCCACAATAGAAGTATATTTTTCACTGGGCATGGTGGTACACACCTTAATGCTAGCACTTGGGAGGCTGAGGCAGGAGGATCATTGCAAGTTC